GCTCAGGTGTGCCTCCCTCGGGGCCCGATGGGGGCCTAGCAGGGAGGTGGCAGTTCTGGTCCTTACTGAGGAAGACAGAGGCAAAGAAATCATTAAATATGTTGGCTTTGTCGTCTGGTGTGACAACCAGATTCCCCGTCTCGTCCTGCAAGGGCCCCACATTACCCGGGGCCTTCTTTTTACTCCCTATGTATTTAAAAAAGGACTTTAAAAAAGTGCTGAAGCACAATTTTTTTTGTAGGTTTATACCCTGTATGGCTGTGGTCAGACTTTCCCAGGAGCAGCAAAAAGCAAATCCTTGGTTTGAAGGCCACAGTCTGCCAAATGTCAAGTCTTTTTTGTAAAGATCTGTAACCGTCAGTTTGAAGGGCACTTACCGCCTGAGTGTGCTATGTGGAGCTCTGCCTGAATGGTTGAAGAAGGTTGTCCCAGCAGTGACACCCTACTAGGAAATACCAGCAATTTTGTATGGTGTCCTGATGTTTTGTCCATCAGGACACCATACTTGTAGTCCAGGATTATCCCCAGTAGGGCATTCAAGATTCAAAACTCAGTTTGGGGTAGGGTTGCCAACTCTGGTTGAATCTATTTCAGGAGTTTCAGCATATGATGTAATGACATTAATGACTAATCTACTCAGGGCCGGCCCATCCTATCCTGTGAAACCAGTGGCTGCAAGGGGCTCTGCAGCTAAGGGGCCCCCTACATCCAGCTGCTCACCACCCCCCTGCCCCTCCACCGCTGGCTTCTTCAGGGCAGGGGGCCCAAAACTATTTCTTGCAGGGGGCCCCTAAAAATTGTGGGCCAGCCCTGGATCCACTATGCTGTACTCAGGAAGGTAAGTGCACGTTATTATTACATTTAAAAAACCCCACTGGACTACTGTATAAATTGGATTCAACATTTAATATTTATTTTAATGAATGCACTATCATTTTTCTCCCGGTTGACTCTCAGCCATCTCCTAGAAATTATAGCTAATTCCTGGAGATGCCAGGGCAATCCTGGAGGGATGGCAACCCTAGTTTGGGAACCTGGGAAAGTTCCAGCCCAGGGAGTGGCTGGGCAGCTCCCCTCAAGCCTGGGTGTCTTTCTGCCCTGGGGGTGGTGGAAAGAGGTGGCGCTGAATGAAGAGGGCTGGGAAGAGCCTGTAGTGTGGTCCTACTCCACAGGTGTCTCCTGAAGCATGTGGCCTAATGGATAAGGCATCTGACTTTAGATCAGAAGCCTGAGGGTTTGAGTCCTTTCATGGTTGCTTTTGTTCCCTTACAGGTTGGCAGAGCTTTAAACTAGCTTTGTTGGAGGACAAGGATGTCGAAGATAGGGTGAAACCAGGAAGGACAAGCCACGACCTGACTGCTGGAATAGACCAGGTAAGTACTAAGAGGCCCACTAAGCATCATGATAGGGGAGTACTAGGGGCACCTATTGGATGACTTAAGTGTCTTTATACTAATGCTAGGAATATGGGGAATAAGCAGGAGGAACTTGCAATCCTGCTTGCAGACAATAATTTTGACCTGGTTGGGCTAACAGAAACGTGGTGGGACCCTACCCATGATTGGGCAGTGGGCATTGAGGGCTACAGGCTATACAGGCAGGACAGACTGGGGAAAAAAGGGAGCGGGGAATGTTGCTCTATATGTTAAGGAGCATTATACATCTTCCATAATAAAGATGGGGACAGAAGAAGGGCAGATTGAAGTCCTGTGGGTCAGATTACAAGGGGGTAGGGGTGCTAGGGACTTGGTAGTGGGGGTCTACTACAGACCCCCACACCAGGGGGAAGAGTTAGACCTTGAATTCTCGAGACAGCTCTCCAGGGCAGTACGCTCAAAGGACCTGGTTGTCATGGGTCACTTAAATTACCCGGACATCTGCTGGGAGGAGCAGTCAGCCAGGTTTGCCCATTCACGCAGGTTCCTAACCAGCATACAGGACCTGCACCTAACACAGGAGGTATGCAGTCTCACTAGAAGAAATGCCTTACTCGACTTGGTGCTGGCCACAGGGGAGGAGTTGGTGGGGGATCTGTAGGTACAGGGTAACCTAGGAGATAGTGACCACCTGTTGATAGGATTCACTATCTGACATAAGGTGGGAAAGATAACTAGTAGGGGAGAAGTGCTAGACTTCTGGAAGGCCAACCTCAACGAGCTCAGGAGAGTAGTTAGAGTGGGACTGAGGGGTAATAGCATCGGTGAGTTGGGAGTCCAGGAAGGGTGGGAGTTCCTCAAGGGACTGATCCTGCAGGCACAAAGGGTACCATCCCAGTACACATAAAGGGAGGCAAAAGAGCCAAGAAACCCTCTTGTCTGAGCAGGGAAATCCAGGAGGGCCAGAGGGGAAAAGAGAGGCTTACAGGTGGTGGAAGCAGGGGGCAGCCACCAAGGAGGAACCTGCTTGGCTCACACTTGCAGGGAAGCAGTGAAGACGGCCAAAGTAGAAACAGAAATCAGGCTGGCAACAAAGATTAAGGGTAACAAAAAGTCCTTCTTTAAGTACATAGGGAGCAAGAAGAAGGTGCAGGGTAGCATAGGGCTGCTACCTGATGGACTAGGGCAGGGGTGTCCAACCTTTTTGAATGTGGGGCTGGATCATGAACTTTTTATCACCCAGTGGGCCGGCGAGCCATATTCAAAGAGCTCAAAGGAAGCGGTTTCACATCACCCCCCCTGAAACAAAAGTACAGTGTTTACTTTCATTTCCCATCGCAGCACCGTGGGCCTCAGAAAACAGCTTGGAGGGCCTCATGGCGGCCCATGGGCCGTATGTTGGACAAGCCTGGACTAGGGCAACTCAGAACAGATAGGATGGACAAAGCTGAGCATTTAAACGCTTTCTTTGCATCTCTGTTCCTGGACATGGATAAAAACACACCTCCCAATGAGACTTTAGTCTGGCGTGAGAGAGATACCAATCCACCAACGGTTACCGCTGACCTAGTGAAGGGGCACTTGGAGGGGTTGGACGTATTTAAGTCAGCAGGCCCCGATGATCTTCACCCAAGGATAATAAAGGAATTAGCCGAAGTCATAGTGAAACCACTGGTGCAACTGTTTGAGAGCTCGTGGCGCTCAGGGCAGGTCCCAGATGACGGGAAAAGGGGCAATGTGGTCCCTATTTTCAGGAAGGGGAGGAAGGAGGACCTGGGTAATTATAGGTTGGTTAGCCTCACCTCTATTCTTGGCAAGACTTTAGAAAAAATCATTAAGGATCACATTTGTGGGGGGCCAATGGGCGATACAACGTTAAGGGGCAACCAGCATGGGTTTATAGCAGGTGGATCCTGCCTGGCTCACCTGGTCTCTTTTTATGACAAAGTCACAAAGTGCTTAGATGCAGGAGTAGAGGTAGATGTTATTTACTTGGATTTGAAAAAGGCTTTTGACACAGTGTCGCACCCAATTCTTACAAGCAAACTGAGTAGCTGTGACATGGACTTTTTCACAGTCAGGCAGGTGGAAAACTGGCTTATGGGATGCACTCGGAGAGCGGTGGTGGATGGGTTCATTTCTACCTGGAGAGATGTGGGCAGTGGTGTTCCCCCAGGCTTGGTCCTTGGACCAGTACTGTTCAATATCTTCATCAGCGATCTGGATGAGGGTGTAGAAAGCACTCTGTCCAAATTCGCAGACGGCACCAAACTATGTGATATAGTAAACACACTAGAGGATAGGGGGCGAATTCAGGCGGATTTAGATAGACTGGGGAAGTGGGCAGATCAGAACAGGATGCAATTTAACAAAGATAAGTGCCAAACGGTGCACTTGGGGAGAAATATCACCAATACACCTATAGACTGGGAAGTACCATTCCATGTAGCACAGCAGTGGAAAGGGACCTCGGAGTCACAGTCGATGCAAAAATGAACATGAGTCGCCAATGTGACGAGGTAATAAGTAGGCCTGTGCGAATAGGGAACTATTTGATTCAGGTTCAGATTCAGCCAATTTGGATGCCAGCAATTTGATTCGGAGCTCCGAATCGGTTTCCCACTTTGATTCGGCTGAATCGGCTCTGAAGGTTTGGAGCCGATTCAGCGATTCAGCCATAGGGTATAACGGGGAATCAATGAAATATCAATAACTTTGTTATTTTTTGTCTGATTTAGATGAAACTTGCAGGATTGGTAGCCTCTGCTAGGAGCACGATGTCTGCCAAAATTCAAGGAGATAGGTACAGGGGCTTGGGGGAAACTGCACACCTAAATTTTTAAAGCAAAACTCATGTCATGAGTATGTGCTAAGCCACAGCGGGGTCAAAACTTCAGGGGTGGTGGCCCCTGGTGAGGCCACAAAGCCTGCCAAGTTTCAAGGAGACAGATTTGGGGGGTTGGGGGAAACTGCACCTCAAGCTGCTGACAAGTAAAACTTATGACATAGATGACCCTTTGTGTGTTAAGGTGCAGAGGGGTGAAAACTGCAGGGATGCTAGCCCCTGTGGAGGCCACAAAGCCTGCCAGCTGTCAAGGAGATAGGTGCAGGGGTTTGGGGGAAACTGTACCTCAATCTGCAGACAAGCAAAACTCATGACATGGATGACACTGTGGGCGTTAAAGTGCAGCGGGGTGACAGCTGCAGGCCTGGCTGCTAGCCCTTGATGTGGCCACAAAGCCTGCTAGCTCTCAAGGAGATCGGTGCAAGGGTTCTGGAGCCCTGCACCTCTAGCTGCTGACAGAGAAAACTCATGACATGGGTGCTTGTGCAACTGACTGTCTCTGTCTTGGGGCAGTTGATTGTCTGTATTCATTATTTCCTCTCCTTAGTCTGTGGTTTTGTAAGTGTTAATCTTTGCTCATTAACTCATTACATTAGGTAGCTACTGTGTATCGAGCTGGTCCCTGAGTGAATCATGATTGATTGGTAACACAGTATCCTAGCAGCCAGGCCTGCAGTAGTTTCCCCCCCCCCCCCCCCCCCCCACACCCCCCCATGCCCCAAGACACAGTTGCACAAGCACCCATGACACAAGTTTTGCCTGTCAGCAGCTAGAGGTGCAAGGCCCCAGAACCCAGAAGCCCCTGCACCGATCTCCCCGACAGCTGGCGGGCTTGGAAGAACTGGAGAACCTTGATGATTGGAGTCATGGAAATGGGATCAAAGGTAACAGTAGAAGGTAGGGACAGGTAGACTTTATTTAATGGGGCAAGGTGTAAGTGACCCAGGATCAGAAAGACCTGGGTGTATTTTTTGATTATGAAATAATGACTAATGAGTTGTAACTTTGAAAAGGCAAATGTGATCCTAGTAGAGTCCTGGTGAATCATTTCCCGTGGACATATGGAAGTATTAATGTCATTGTACCTGGCATTGGAGAGACCTTATCTACAGATACTATGTCCAGCTCTGGTCCTCTGTGTTCAGGAAAAATGAATTCAGCTTGGATGGATCTAGTGAAGGGCTGCTTGGATGATCAGGGGAATGGAGAATGTATCTTATTTAAGAATGAAGGGGGACACCACTGCCAAATATATCAGGAGGGGAAAAACCAGGGAGGGAGAAGAGCTGTTTAAATGAAAGGCCAATGTCTGTCACAAGAACAAATATGTCTCAAGTGGGCAGGAATCAGTTATGGTTGGAAATTAGAAAAAAGTTTCTATTCTCCAGAGTAATTAGGTTCAGAAACTGCCTTTAAAGCAGGTAGTGGGGGCAAGAAAGTGGACTGGTTTTTATGATGGAGATTTGTAAGTTATTGAAAAGGGTTGAGTGGCATACCATATGGCAGTCCACAGGAATAGGGATTGGACTCAGTGATCAAGAAGACTCCTCCCAGCTTTTTGTTTTCTATATTCTGAACAAAAAATACTCAGATTTTTAAGCACGGAAGAAGAGGATATGTCCCTTCTGCTTCACTTTGAGAGCAGCTGGACTGTTTTGTAAGAAATCTTCAAAAATAAATCGGTCTGAATTAGAGAGCCAGAAGGAAGATTTCAGACCAAATGGATAAAGCTTGGCAAAGTTATACACGGACAAAAACAGTGTTTAAAATAGGAAATCTTATTAATTCTTGCCTTACTGACAAACACAAATACACCATAAAGTCCCATTTCCCCAAGCACTTTTGTTTCTCTCTCCTTGGAAGATGAGCACTTGTGTCCAACTAGTTCCAGGTTTAGTTCCATGGAAACTATGTTGTAAATGACTTGATTTGATTCCAGATCATGGAGGATTTAATCACAAGGGTAATCAGGGGAATATGAGCTGTCTTTCTTTTCCATATCCCTGATACCTGCATCCATTTCTTCTGTCCTTTATCTCAGAGGTGGGGACGAGCATACTGTTCCTGGAGGTGGAAGACACTCCACCCTCAGTTCCTTTCATTCATCACCCAAAACATTTATTATCAGACCTCTCAAATCCCTAGATGTACCAGCATGATAGTTGTAGCCTCAGAACTCTGCAGGACGTAGTTTTGCTTGTGGGATTAGGGCTGAGAAGATGTCACTTTGTCTATCAGGAGAAAGCAGTGACTGTGACGGCCACCTCTTGGGTCTTTTCCGGTCTGCAACAGGAAGTTCCTTGGACCAGAAAAAAATACAGCTAGAAATTTGGTAAAAAACATAAGCCATGATGTCCTAGCTGCAGGGCCCATTGTCCATATTCTATGAAATGATCGAACCTGGAGTTTCTAGTGGACTGCCAAATGCAAATACCATTTCAGTGTCCTCTTGCTCTTAGCTCCCATTTTGTATACTGGCACAAGCTCCTTGTCCTCCTGAATATCCTCTTGTGTAATTTTGTTGTCTGTAATCTCAGTAGTTGCCAGTTTGAAACCCCTTAACACATAATTTCAGCTGTTTTGCTCCAGCCAGCTGCTTGTCCAGCTTACAAACCCATGGAGACTCAACTGCCAGAGTCCATAGGCAGTCTTCCTACAGTGGTTGCTGATATTGGTCCAGGTCAGAATTGCTTCTCGAATTTGTTCCTGTGAAGTTTCCCAGGTAGAAACAAAGCAGGGGAATCTGCAAACCCACTGTCTCCCGGCCCAAGCTTATTTTTTCTTCTTATTCACAACAGCATACAGGAGTTCCCCGGGGGGACTGGCTGGGTGGGTTGCTTTGGGGAATGGCTCCATGTTGCAGTAGATGGGCTGCTGCTCTGGACTGGATGCTTGCATGGTGACATAAAAAATCTCTTCTCTATTTTCTGAATCCTGCAAAAATCAATAAAGAATATATCATTGGTCAAGGAGGATAAGCAAGTGGATTCCTGGGGTCTGCTATTGAGCAGCTTCGGCCCTGCAAGATGCAGGGCCTTTAACTGGGTGACTGTGCGGGGGGATCTGTTGAGAAGGTACAGATCCCTGAAACATCTAAAAAATTGGCAGCCATTGCCCCCCCAGCTTTACCTGTGGCAGGTTAGGGCATTCTGCTTTATGGTTGTGTCTGTAGTTGACTGTGTGGTGTTGCTAATAGGTTAGACAATGGATTTGGATAGGGATGCTCTTGCCTGTCTTGGGGGGATTGGATGAGATGACCCTTGAAATCCCTTCTAGCCCTACTTTCCATGCTGCTATGGTGCTTTATATTGCTGGGCACTGCTGCATTAGTCTGAGTAGCTGAGCAGAGTGGGAGGTTTATGCTTTCTGGATCTTTAAACTGAAAGCAGAGGGGCAAGGGTGAATCCTGTAAGAAACACTCATTTATGCATCTAGCCTACCCCATAACCAGTACAAGACTGCCTCCTGCACCATGGTCTTGCCTGCAGTCATTACCCTGCAGACAGCTCCACTTGATTGCAAGGGACTGCACAGAAGCAAAGGCTGGAGGAATGATTTTATATTTGAGTTCAGGTTTAAATGAGGCAAGTGCTTTATTTTAAGTCAAGAGGACAGGGTGGGAGGGAAGTGAGTTCTCCACTTTTTTCAGAGTTTAGCTCTAAGTGCACATCCACAAAACAGCTGCAACCCTGAGCATTTTGCTGTGCTTTTTTCCTACCTGATGATGGGATGGGACTTCCTGGTAGCTGGTGTCAGGGTTCAGTGAGGCAGAAGGGGTCCCGACATTGCTGTAGAGTCCTGTCTGGTTAGTGGTGACGTGAGGATGCACAAATTCATACTCTGTGCTGAGATCTGCTGGGCTGTTCTCGGCTGCCTGAAACAAGGATGAGATGAGCTCAGCACCAGGTAGACAATGGGATCCATCTCACTCAGGCTGAAAGGGATGCTCTTGGGATGGTTGTGGAGCTGGAAATAAGGGGCTTTTCTCATGAGACAGTCCCCCTAATGAGTGTGATTCACAGCTGAAGGTGACCCAGAGAAAGACAGGAGTGTTTATATTATAGTGTGCTATGGGCTGTTCTTTGGAGTGACACCCTGTGAATGACTGGAGACATGGGTACAAGAAACCTTCAGGTAGGGTCAAGTGTAAGGAGGACTTTGGAGAGATGCATGCAGTTGTATCCACCTAACTGAAACAAATGTGGTCTTCCTATAGGGAATGGGCATTTCTGGCTGTCTGCGCATCACTGTGTTTTGATTGGCTTGCCGGGCAGTCTTGATTTTCAGTAGTTAGTTCCCTCGGAAAATGTTAGTTCCCTCAGAAAAAAAAAATCCCTCCACTTGTAGGAACTGATAAATGGTAGCACATGAGATTCTGGCCTGAATTTCTGCTTGAAGTACCGTGCTTGCTCACACATATCATGGGACAGACGTTTGCATGTGCGCGTGCCTGTTTGCATACATAATTGCTATAAATGCTCATGCAAATGAGACAGGAAGTTACACCCATTCTGCAGTTTGGAAAATTCAGTGGCGTGCGGAACGGAGCTCAAGCTGTTTGCATTTTCCAAGTACCCTATTTCTTGTTAACTACAGCAGAAAGACGCACAGATAAGCCCCAACCACACTGCAGCAGTGATAAAACAGGATAAAGGGTTACAGCTCTAATCTGGGTCTAATCTATCTGGCCTTCAGGAAAACGCTTGATGTGTCACATAGGAAATTATTAAACTGGAAGTAGTTAGGATCCATATCTGCTAACTAAGCAGATGTTGGATTCTAACTAATGTTTAGGATCCATATCTGCTAACAGGATCCATAACTGCTAACTAACCAGGTAGCAGCCTGCAGGCACACGACCAGTCGCACAATCACTGCGTGTGCCGGTCACTACTTCACAATAACGTAACATGCTTTTTGTCTGCATTTTGCAGTTCCTGTCACCAATGGCTCTCTGCAAAGCCCATTTGTTTCCTGAGTGGATGTAGAGCTTCCCCATTTCTGCTTCCTGGAGGTGAGACTGCTCTAATGCAGCTGAATAAAGTTTGAATCTTAAGTCAGTCCCTCTTGAACACCAATCCTCTTGACATCTCTCACAAAAAGAGCCCCTGTTGGTGCCTGTAAACGGACCCCCTGGAACAAGTTCTTTAGGAAGGTGTCTGACAGACCACTTTCCTAAAGCAAAGACACTACAATGGTGATTGTAGATCACTTTAGTCTGGATCTTGCTCACAAACATCAGGGAAGTGAATCCGAGGAATTCTACCTTGGTCAGCACAAAAGCAGATGCCTTCCCTATCTCACCAGAGTATCTCACTGCAATATTTCATGTCCACTGTTGTTGCAGGATCATGGCAGGGGGCAAACAAACCTGTAACTAGAGCAAGGTGTAAAAACTCCACCTGAGCCATTTATCTGATTACCTTGACACCCCTTTTCTGAATAGATCAGCTTTGAAAAAAATAAAAATAAAACCATTAGTAAGTAGCTGATGAGGAGTTTTGGTACCTGACTCTTGCTTATCCATGAACAATTTGTTCCAAGTTCTGATCTGAGCTCTTTTGATTGACCAAGTGGGTCATGTGATATGTTTCTACACCCTGCTTGGATGAGCCCAACCCTAGGAAGTGTTTCTTGGGAAGAATACTCTACACTGCGAAGTAAACGTTTGCTTTTTGTGAATATTCTGCAATATTCACTTAAAACTCCTGGTTCAATTGAACGTTCCTGCTAGTAAGCTTGTGCTGTGGCATATCTGCAAAAAGCAAACACTAAAGGGACAGGACCATGGTTGGAGCAAGTGGATGTAGGAATTTGAGACTGAAAGAACATTCACTGCGTTATTTGTCCAGTTCAATCTGTGACATTAGGTCCCCCCTATTACCAGTGGATGGTACAAGGATGGACTATACCGTGCCTCACCATATTTGCTAGGTTGATTTTCTTGTCCTGCTGCACAGAAGCTCCTGGAAGAGTTGAATGAAATGAAAAATAGGCACAATTAAAACAAAGTCATAGCTGCAAGCAGGAAGACAAATGTTGCTGTAGTAAGTACAGAGGTCCAAATCATAGGGCTGAGCTCTACCTGCCTTTCAGAAGAAACACAAACCCAATTCATGGAAACAAAAATACTAGTACCAATCCAGATCTAGCCTTCTGCTGATTGTTAACTGCCCAGTGCTTCCCAGGCACTTCCCTTTGAATTCATCTCAATACCTTCATTAGTCAGTGAAGATGTAGCCAATGGAACTGAACCAGGCTTGGATGACTCTACAATGTCCATATAAATCCAATCAACAGGAAATTTCATTTTAAATGACCTTTTTGTGCCAGCAAAATCCTTCCCCCATGAAAATGCACTGTTATATTACACAGGCTTATTCTATTGTACAAGGCTCTGAAGCCACACTCCAGTGCAGGGACTCTGAATAAAAAGAAAGGAATTGCTGGAAGGTAAAAAATTTAGGAGCAGACTCTAGCCAGCCATAAGGAGCACCTGACTTCACAGGCAGTAGTATCGTAAGAGTGGGCTCTAGATGGAGCAAGGTGTATGGAACATGAACATACTCCCCTAGAGACCAGCTCCCACAAGCAGTTGAAAACAAATGTGATTAAAGGAAATATGTGCACACCTTTGGACAGTGTTGCACATGGGTCTCTCCCGTATTGCATAAAAGCTCTTTCTACAGATGCTGTCAGCCAGGTGCAGAGATGTGACTTAGTGGAGATCTGGATTTTGGAGGTCAGGGAAGTGTGAAAGGCAGTTAGAGCTGCAGCAACAGACATGGATACAAGATCCAGAAGCCAGTATCTTCCCTGCAGACACAGTTTCACTCACTTTTCTTCTTTCTGGATGCCCTGACCAACATCAGAGTAGCGACTAAGAACAAAATGAGGACCAGCGCGATGCAGGGTATCAGGACATAGAAGATTATTTTCTGATCCGAGGCAGAACTGGAAGAAAGGAGAGATTCTCTTTGAATACCCTTTCCTACAATCACCGATTCAACAAGCAGTGACTGTAGGGCAACTGGCACAGGGGGGACAGCAGGATGTACTAGTCCAAATTTAGTCTGGTTGAGGTCACCTGTAAAATGAGTTTGACACATGCATCACATTGCGAATCCAAGTAACCTGCTGCATGATCCAATCCGTAGAGCAAAGGTCTTGCAGGTATGGTCCATCACATCGTGCCACATAATCATAAACTGAGGCGCTACAGCCAGAGGAGGGCATAGGGGAGCAAGACCACAACTGATCTAGCATCGTGAAGTGAAGGAGAAAAGTAGATCGGTGGTTCTCATCCATTTTAGACTTGAAGCAACACTCAGAAAATAACAGCTTTTAGTTTTCACTCTTTTTTTTTTGACTACAGAAAAATACAGTGGTTTTTCTGATGCAAAGAACTCAGAAAGACCACAAGTCAGCAGACTATGGATTCCTATCTGAAATCTCTTGGTGCGTCTTGTGAATCATGTTTGCACATCTAACAGCAATATGTGTCACAGGGTAACACCCGGTGACACCCTTGCTGAATATTGCTGTTTGATATCACTATTGAGATACTGATCTCCACATTTACTGTAACCCATGCTCCCTGGACCTGCACTTTTATTATGAGGCAGTTCACATTTTCTGTCCTGTGTGGTCTTAGCAGGCTGTAGACACCTTAAGGCGTTGTCTGGTTTGTCTTGGGTGGTTTGGTGACACTCAGCTGCCTCCCTCCATTCCAGCGGCCCAAAATTTCACAGCTGATCTGGAGGGAGGGAGGACAGTCGAGGAAACGCTAGGGCAGGATTTGCATCATGACCCACCTCCTTCTGATACAGTCAGTTCATGTAACTTATATCATTTTTCATGTGCAGTATTATATTGGCTCATAACCACTCAGGAAATTTGTCTGGTTTGCTTTGGTCTTTTATGCTCTTTAGATCAGCAGCGATCAGCCGTCGCTATGCTGAGGCCAGTTGGAATGCACTGTTATCTACTTGTGGCTATTTTTTGCTAATGCTTTGGAAATGCAGGTTCTAGTCATGCAAACGTTTAGGCAGATGCCTACCTTTTTATATAAGGCAACTGACCCTGGAGTTATAGCAGACTTGAATTATAGACAATAAAAACCTTCCTGGAGTTAAAGGAGCAGCGGTGGCCAAATCAGGTCCAAAATGTAGACACATAACGTTTCACAAGAATTTGAGACCAAGGGAGAAGTTTCTGTGAACTGATTTAAAGTCAGTCTAGACAAATAAGGATTCTGCTTGCAACCCTCTTGTTCAGGGTGCTGAAATTCTTTGGCCCCGACACACCTTCACTTAAACGTGCGATGGGATCTGATCCCCAATCCCAGAAGGACCACCGTGCCTTCTGCCATGCCACACATGCATGTGCCACACATACATGGCAGGAGGTATGACTTTGAGATCCCGGATCAGACCCCAGATCAGGGGGAACCTCGGGTCAGTCCTGGGAGCCCACAGAGCCTGGGATCAGCTGGTTGTTAGCTCCAGCCCTGGGTTCAGGCCAAGGCTATTTGCAGACCCCAGCATGGTAGGAACTGATAATCAGCTGATTGTTGGCACCAGCCCTGGACATGCCATATGTCCAGTTTAAGGTGCTGCCCAAACCAGCTGTAAAACTGTTCTGCATTATTTATGGAACATTTTTATGGCTGGTTGCCATTTAAGCCACCTTAAATTGGGTGTACAAGTAACATCTTATCCATTGGTGCTGCAATTAGCACCTTAATTGTGGCATACGTATAATGTGTGGAGGGGCCCTTAGTCACATATGTGAACTACTGCATGGGCCACAGTCTAACTGACTGGAAGGAAAAATGAAACCAGATGGTCTTCTTTCCTCTTTCAAGCCCCGCAAAGCTCAGACAGCAAGTAAAACCATTGTAGAAAAGGTAACATGCTTTCTATATTACTTAATTTTTACATATAGAGCGTCTAAATATTGCAGCCTGCCTCTACTCTCAGCTTATTCTGCACCAGTTAGTCTTCCCCTCCATGTTGGCAATGGTTAGCATAGATGAGGCTATAGATGTCCATAAGAACAGTCATGTGGAGCAAGTCATTTGCATGAATGCATGCTGGTGTCTTTAGTCGTGGTGCTTCAAGTAGAGAAAATGGGCAGTAGGGCTGCAAAAGGAATGAGGAAGAACGAAACTTGTGGCTAGGTTCAGTCACTTGTTTTTTCTGCAGTTATGTGGGTTGCAGCAATATAAGTCCAAGCTGAACTAAACACACACCTTGGAGCATGTAAGCAATCCCACTGAGCTCCTGGGAAGGGACAGAGATCGCTGTTACAGTGAGAAATAACTTGTTCCAGGTGCAATGACTCTTCCCTGGGATTTAGCTCCTCCAGAACCACATCCTAGCTATAGCTTATTTTTCAAGGAATGCAGTGGAGGTAGCTGAGGTCTGACAGAGAGCATAGCAGGTCTTCATGATGAGGTTTTACAGATCAGAGGTGTCATGTAGAGGCAGAATTGAGCTGTGATTATTTTCTCTGAGCATGGTGGGCAGCAGGATGCTGGCCTGTTAAGGCATTGCCTGGGGTACAGAAACCCAGGCTCAGCCATTGCTTCCAGGGAAAGAAGTGCCCATAGAGCCCTGAACTGGGGGTGCTGCTGGCACTCACCTCTGTGTGGCAGAGTTGGTGGTGGATTGGCCCTGTGAAGTACCTTCCCATGTAGGAGTAGATTCCTTGGAGGAAGTAGAAGCTGTGGACTCTCTTGCTGATGATGAACTGGTTGTTGAGCTAGAGGTAGGAAGAACTGCAGATAAAAAGAGGGATTTAGAAAATCTTTCAGCCTCTCTGGTGTAAAATGCTGCTGTGTGCTCAATGAGGTTTTAGCCACAGCAAATGCAAAGGAAGGCGTCTCCCCGCTGCAGAAACCCCCATATGCTGCTCCCATGGCACATATGAGCCAGAAGAACCTGTCAGAACTACACAGGCTGCCACTGCCAAGCCCACACTGCAAAGCCTGGCATGGAGGTATGCCAAGGTGTGCCTGGGGGCAGGTGGGGGAGCCTCTGTACTTCCTAAAGCGATAGGGATCCTCTGCTGGTCCCTGGTCCTGGTAAACTAGAGCAGTCTCTGCTTTAAGTGGCACTGACAATGCCCACATCTGTAAGACTAAAGCTGATTTAAAGCTACATTTCTTCCCCACCCCACCCCCAAGCAATGCATCCCAGAAGCAGAGTGGAAAATGTCAGCCAGCCATTGCAACTGCAGCAATGTAATCAGTCTGTTTTTCTCCTGCTCTTCTCTTTTCCCCCTTGCCTCTTTGTTGCTGTGGGGGACTAGCCAGAGACGGTGACGGGGGGAAGAAGAGAAAAGCTTCTGCTGATAAAAATTGCCAGGATCTGCAAGATTTTTAGAAGGTTTTTTCCTTCCTGCTGCGTAATCTGTTACTGGTGCATTGGGGACTCTCTGAATCAGGATCTGAGTGAGGCAGAGCCATCCTGTCTGGAAAAGAAAGACATTGCCCGTGGTACCTCCGTGCCCCTGTACTACTGTCCCTTGTGGGCAGCATCTGCAGTAGGCGGCCCTAATGCGACGGTATGCAAGATGCCGGCTCTGTTGGTAGTGCCGCTTCCAGCAATGATGTTCTTTTAGGACAGTGTGATCGATCATTCATCTGGCAGCTAAAGAGCAGGGCCAATGTATGCACAGTTCACTGCAAACCACGTGGAAGGGCACAGAGGGGGGACCGGTCCCTACACAACACTAAGCCTCTCCTTGAAGCTACCAGGCCTCTCTCCTCCAAGCATCTGCAGTCCTGAAAGCAGGGTGCTTAGCCCTGAGACACAAAACCACCCCTGACAACTCCTTCACCTCTCCACTCAGCCCGTTTTCCTCATTGGGAAACTTCAGGCAGCAATGACAGCTCCACCCTCATCACACTGAGTGAGATTGTGGGACCACAGCATGCAACGAGTTAGAGAGTCCCAGATGCTGGACGGCATGCCGGCGGGATAGGGGCTGCCCATGGCAGGGCTCGTCCCCTCCATGAAGCATCCACAGTACTCATGAGATTGCCTGGCCAGTCCCCTGCAGTGCCCCACGGCCCATGAAAGGGGGATTCCCTGTGTGCATTAGAGAGGGGCACAGGATCCCAAGCCGCCAGGTATCCACACCCTTGTCATCACTTGGGGAAGCAGGGAAGGCAGTTACCTGGGGACACGATCACCTTCACAGCGTGCCTGAGATCAGGCAGTGCAGTCCTCGCCACCCCGCAGTGGTAGGTGCCAGCATCTGCCTTGGTCAGGTGCTCCATGGTAACCGTGAACGTGCGCAGGCTGTGGTTGTCCTGGAGGGAGAAGCGGCCCTTTTGGACCTTGGCCTCCGACCCGTTGGTCTCCAGGATGTGCTCCCCATTAGAACAGCGGTAGGAAGATCCTTCTCTACACCAGAACTTCCCATTCTTCTCATAGCCCTTGTCATACCCGCATGTCACGGACACCGACCCACCTTCAGGGCCCGTCACCGTCCGGGGGCCTGTCACTGCCACGCAACCTGGAGGACACAGAGCTACAAGGAGTCATTTTCATGCAGAGCAAGTATACAATCCTGCAGCCCCCTGGTAACAGAAGCATCACCGGAGCCCTTGACGTGCGAGCCCAGTGGAGCAGGAAGTGCAGAGAGGTCTGGGGTCTCCTGCCCAGCCTCCCTGAGCCACAGCATCCCCAAAAGGGCAACGCAGCCTCTGCAGGAGGGGGAAAAACCCCTCAAATAATCTCCTCCTCTCAGTGCGTGCAGGGAAAG